TCGTGTTTTGGTTGACTTTAATGCGGTCAGGGATGACATGTGTTTTTGTTGACTTTATCGCGGTCAGGGAGGAAATGTGTTTTTGGTTGACTTTATCGCGGTCAGGGAGGAAACGTGTTTTGGTTGACTTTATCGCGGTCAGTGATTACATGTATTTTGGGTGAATTTATCGCGGTCAGGGAGGAAACATTGGTTCGTTCAGGCTCTTGATTTAGAGAACACATATGCTAATCGTAAGTTGTGTAATCATTCTTTAAAGGAAATATCAAGCAGTTGATGAATATCGGAAATTTTACTATTGTACTATATTTAAGCATAGAAGGTTTTGCACATGTGTTGTGTATATACAGTTTGTAAATGACTTGTTTCTTTCTTTTCTATGGGGTCACCGTATCAGTCGGTACATGGAAAAAAACATCGTTGTTTTGGTGTCCAAGCCGGCGTAAAAGTAGTAACTTATTCAATATTGGGCTAGTTTGATACCGTCTAAGACATTCACATACAAACACGACACCAACTATACCCCGGTCTCAAGATGCCCTTTGCCTTTGGGCACGTTTTCGAATATAAGTCTTCAATTTTTCGATATTTTTGCACATCATTTGTGTCCAAAACTATGTTGCACGGTGACTTAAAACAACACATTCTTTCATCTTGCTGACAAGATTTGTGTAACACAATTCTTAGTCTATATGTCTTTTTGTTGCCTGTTAACTTGTGCAAGTCTAAAATGTCTTGGTAATACCAGCCCAACATGAACTAGCTGCTCAATATTGAATAAGTACCCAAATTCTCGCTGGTTGTCACGGATTGATGACGTTAGCCGTGAAAGGGAAATTGGTATGATACAGGGTGAAGGTAGGTACGCTGCGGTAGTCCGGCTGTTTTTGACGAATTCGACGGCCGATCGTCAAAGATTATGGATGCCACGCATTACATCACGTATACAGGTATATATCCATACCCCATCTGCGTAATTGAACAGTACCAACGGCAAGTATTGCTTCCAACATCCCCATTCACCGTCGTATTAATCAACAAACTGTAATCCGTCGGTTAGCCGAGGTAGGACTACGCTCTCGCCGACCGTATCGTGTGCCTCGAATGACACGATGTCATGCCCAAAGTCGCTTAGCGATGGCACGACAACATACACGATGGCAGCAAGCTTTGTTTTACAGATGAGTCCCTATATTTATTATATCTTACAGATGGCAGAGCGCGAGTGTATCATAAGCATGTTTCGTCATGATTGTAAGTTGGGATATCGAGCGATGGGCACACAGACCTTATGATCGTCAACGGTAGCCTGAACGTTCGACGTTACCGAGAGCAGATCTTGGTAACACACGTTGTTTCATTCATTGTGACAAATGGCGGCACGTTTCAGGAAGATACATGATCGTCGACGATAGTCTGAGCGCTCGACGTTACAGAGAGGAGATCATGGTACCACACGCTGTACCATTCATTGTGACAAATGGCGGCATGTTTCAGCAAGATACATGTAAGGCACTTGTTCATGTCGCACTCGTCAACATGGACTTTCATCGACAACAGTACTTCAATGTGCTTGATTTGCCATCGTTTTCCCCAGATCTCAGTTGGACGTAGATTGAGAAATCGACAACTGTTTTGTGTTTCCTTAATATCATTGATTCATTAGAGTGTTAAATAACGCCCTCAAATACTAGTAATATCCTTTTATCAAGAAATGTGTTCTACATCCTTATCAATATGATCAACTTACAGTTGGGGATTTCTGCTTAAAGGTATAGAAAAGTGTCAAAAGCAAATAATCAAAAGTTTTGTTTCGTCATCTTCTGTGCCATTTGATGTAGAGTGAAAATAGATACAGACCAAACACTGAACCTTGAGGTAAACATTATATTTGAAAAGGGTTAGTTGAAAAGCGTTGAACTTTTGTAAAATCGTTGATGACGAATCTTCATTATTATTTGTTCCATTCTTTATTGTTTTGAGTGAAATAATCATACAAACATTTAAAAATGCTTTTAAACATTTTCCTGAATATTGATCACTTGTAGTGGTTATACAATGTATTTAACGGGTCGAATTATCGCCCTTTCCTCTGTAAATTCATAATTGCAAGGTTGAATTTGGCAGGTACATTTATGGTAAGTTTAAGGTAAGGAATACTATTTATTTATTAAAAACTGATATGAAGAGACTTAACTAGAAATTTGGTTAACATCTTTACTAGTTTGGACTTTTATTAGCCTATCCAGGTGGCTTATCGGGGTTATAATTCTATTAAGGATCCCCGTACCACTGCCAAATATGTAGTCTTTTTTATTTTTTTTCCGGCATGACGATAGCATTGACAAACATTTCTGAAAAGAAAACCATATATTATAGAACTTCAATGAAAAAAATAAAGATGAAATAAACAAAATTCAAAATAATCAACAACAGTGTTATGTGTGTAAAACTTCAGCGCGGCTATACTAGGATTCGAACCCTAAACCTCAGATTGTTTCCTGGTCAACATCGTAACCAGGTCCAGTTGCACAATAGTTATACTCAAAACGATATCAAGGGATTGCTACCGTATATTTGAACATCAATATTGACAGTATCTAGTGTTTCGCATGCAGTGGTACAGGGACCTTTAACTGATCCTGAATTCTTGTCTATTATCACTTTTTACTATTTATGTCGTCGGGCAGATAGCTACGTTATCCAACCTATTAAACAGAACTACATTTCTTGACATTACGCCACAGTGAATTGACACTTGAACCTGCATACACGGATTGCATATTCAAGATGGCCTACATGTTTCCATTATACAGACACTTCCTCCAGAAAACTCGTGATTTCTGATTAATCTCCGTCGGCTTTAATTTGCATGGACCGTACACTTAAACATGTTCGGTCCATCGGAGACATTTACCAATAATGTCACTTTTTTTGCTTATGGAGCCTGCAGGCATCACGACTTTTCAAAACAATAAATGTAGCGGCGATTCTGTTTTGGTCGTATTTGATATGTTAGATGTTTGTTTCAGACCTCGATGCATAACAGACGTTTGGTTTGTTAATCGATAATGTCGGTCATACCTACTAGTTCATCCACGAAGAATTTGTGTGACCGCTAAAAAAACCCACACACTTGCTTTATAAGGCCTTGTTGCCCTCTGCAGCATTAGCAGCCAGTGCCCCTTCAACGAGATCAATTTTCTACAACTCGCTAATCTAATATTCGATTTTAGAAAATGTGTCTTTTGTCAACCCTATCAATTAATCTAAATGTGCTCACTGACTAAACAGTAAACATACTTCCCCACACAATATCATACTAGTGATGTTTTTTGCCTTCAATTTTTGACCTGTGTTAATTGAGAAAAATATACTGCAACTTTTGCACTTTTAGATATGATACATGCTAGGTCATATACAATCATCAGAGACATATGTGTTAGCAGTGGTTTCATATCTGTAGGTACGAGTATTTTTCTGTTTTGTACATTATTTTATATGCCACATCTATATTAATATACTCGGAAATGTGTTTTGTTGCTGAGTTTGAATTGCTTTAACGTGTCGGTGATTTTGATTTATAGTTCAGTATCTTGCTTCCCCAATTACGGCGGTTACATGTTGTAGTTGATTAAGTAATCACAACCATGCTCCTTATATGTCATGTTAGCCACCATGATCTCATTAGTGTATCTTCTGTGATTCTCGGATTTCTTACTTCTATAAAGCAGAGGACGCTTACATGTGGTCCTATTTTCATTGTTCCTTTTCTGTGGTCTCCATGTATTTCTTTCCCTTGTTCATATTTGGCCTATTTCTATTATTTCAAGTTTAAATTAAATTTTGGTTATGTTTCTGTGTTGTTTTGTTGCATTCGTTCAATGCAGGGAGTAATGACAGATTATGTAAAACATCTGAGTGATGTAATATTTTACTAACGGCTTCACTTTTTCATTTTTATGCGGCAAAAGTATGAAGAAGAAGAACATAAAAAGGCTATATCATTTGAAAGGCGGTGTAAACAATATTGTCTATTTTGCAAAGCCTAATATCGTGTATAACGATGTTAATCTTGTTTCGAAAGCGGGTTAAAATACGGTAGTTCACTGTAGTGTTTCCACATACGGACAAAAACTACCATAGCAAAAATACCCCAACACGAAACCATATCGTCCCTCAACCACAGGAATATAGGAGATACGAAGTGAAAGTAGATATCTTGAACACCCAAATGAAGCGTCGGCAGAGCATGGTTGTCCACAGTCTATGCCCGTATTCATGAAATAACTCTCATGTTCAGCTCAGATTCCTGACTCTAACCCGACCGTTGGTACAGTGATAGATTGACAGAAATAAAATCAAAATACCGATTTGAAATCAACATCTCACGGATGCACTTTCAATTTTCATTAACCCTGATCGTTGACGCAAATTGCATCGTGGCCTGATAAGCTTAGCCACTGCACAACCGTTGTTTATCAGTCAGCTGCATTTGCGATCACGAAATCGATATCATGTCAATTTTAAAGATAATCAATGCTTGTTTAAACATGCTGGTAGGTCATTTAAATGGTTCAAAATATGTAAAGTGGAACTATTTGTTTTTTGTTCAACTTTGTATTTCGTCACCATTAACAACGCATCATCCTAACCGCGAAAAGGGCTGTTTTTCAGGACGGTGTATTGATTTTATTTTTTTAGCGTGAAAACAACCACTTTTTTTTCTTTATTTCAAATAATAAAAGTTAATGCAATAGATCGTAAACATAAGGTTTGAAATGCATCTTTTATCTTTATGAGGGAAACGCGCATCATGGAATATGTTTTAGCGGAACAGTGTTGCATACCCCAATAAATGTAAAAAGATGCATTTCAAACCTTAACATTGTAGATATAAAATATACTACATATACTACGTATTGTTAGATAATCGTGTATGCTTGATTGACGACATTCCCATTTTCATAGTCAGATAAAATGACGACAACTTGCAATTTTAATACTGTTTTATTGCTATAATAGGTAAGAAAACATGAAAAAGTGAGAATGGCACAGAGGGGATGAACATGTTGTTAGGCTGCGTTAGACGTTAGTATGCACCTTCTGAAACAAACAGAAAACAAAAATCAAAACATATCAACGATGTCTCGGAAAATACAATAGAGAGAAGTGTAAAAATAAACTATTCTGAAATGAATCATATACATGTTGTTTTGTATTCTTTAGCACAACTAACAGTTCACCATGTCTTGGTAATCTCAAACTCGGCTATCAATTCTCAACTGAAATATTTTTGTAATATTGATAATCGAAATATATAGTATGTGTATGTGCGACAAACGTTATCACAGCTGTTAAAGAATATCAGATAGTGAAGAAATAGATAAAATAAAAATGTGATGTATACACGCTTTTCTAAAGATTTCGAAACTAAATAACACGTAAAATAACCTTATAAAGGACAATAAACACTTGGATCAATCAATTAAATGATGACAAATCGAAAGAACAACTAGACCACATACTGCTATGTAATTCGGAAAAAATAAATAATGAAAATTAATATTTGTTTCAGGATATTTGACACACATCTCGGATATAATATATAAAGTAGCGTACTTTATGCTTTAAAAATTTGCAATCAAATAATGACAGATACTACAAAGACATTTTCAACAGCAGTGTTGTTGTTTTTTTACTGCTTTGACGATTGGGCCAGGGTTACTATAAAGAAAACTGAAACTGTGGAACGAAAATAATCGGGCGCGTCAAATTTATTGTGAGTTCTACTAGTCCTATAAAACAATTAAGACTTTAATATTTATTACCGTCACTTATTCTATGCAAACTTAACACTAAATACAATATTTCCGTATTGTTAGTGTGGATTAGGTAACGTTCGGACAAGAAATAAAAACAAAACATTTGTCTTTCATTTTTATAATCACTGCCTCTTCCTCATACATGCTGAACATTGTGAGACCAACACACATCGTTGTGTACTCGAAAATGATATTCCTCGCAAAGACAGCAATATATTGCTAAAGCTTTTAGTTTGTAACGTACACATACAACTTACTTTTTGACTTTGATGGCATAGGTGACATTCCCATTGGCATTTCTCCCATCGGCATTCCACTTCCAGACATACCATTCATTGGTTTAGACATGGGCATTCCCATCATACCTCCCATAGGCATACCTCCCATCATACCTCCCATCATACCCCCCATAGGTTTCATTCCACCCATCATACCTCCCATAGACATACCTCCCATCATACCTCCCATAGGCATACCTCCCATCATACCTCCCATAGGCATACCTCCCATCATACCTCCCATAGGTTTCATTTCCATAGGTTTCATTCCCATAGGTTTCATTTCCATAGGTTTCATTCCCATAGGTTTCATTCCCATAGGTTTCATTCCCATAGGTTTCATTCCCATAGGTTTCATTTCCATAGGTTTCATTTCCATAGGTTTCATTCCCATAGGTTTCATTCCCATTGGTTTCATTCCCATTGGTTTCATTCCACCCATCATGCCACCCATAGGCATACCTCCCATCATACCTCCCATAGGTTTCATTTCCATAGGTTTCATTCCCATAGGTTTCATTTCCATAGGTTTCATTCCCATAGGTTTCATTCCCATAGGTTTCATTTCCATAGGTTTCATTCCCATAGGTTTCATTCCCATTGGTTTCATTCCCATTGGTTTCATCCCACCCATCATGCCACCCATAGGCATACCTCCCATCATACCTCCCATAGGTTTCATTTCCATGGGCATACCTTCCATCATACCACCCATAGGTTTCATTTCCATGGGCATACCTCCCATCATACCACCCATAGGTTTCATTTCGATGGGCATACCTCCCATCATACCACCCATATATTTCATTTCCATGGGCATACCTCCCATCATGCCTCCCATAGGCATTCCTTCCATTGGCATACCACCCATCATACCACCCATAGGTTTCATTTCCATAGGCATACCTCCCATCATGCCTCCCATAGGTTTCATACCACCCATTGGTTTCATATAACCCATCATGCCTCCCATGGGTTTCATACCACCCATCATACCTCCCATAGGCGGCTTCATACCCATTGGCATACTTCCCATCATGCCTTCCATAGATCCCATTCCCATGCCACCCATCTTCATCATATTTTTCATCATGCTTTTCATCATAGGCGACATGGGACTTGGCATCATGGGACTTGGCATCATGCCCATACCACCCATGCCACTTCCCGTCGGAGCCATCATCATCATTACATTATTGGTCATGCCTCCCTGGGGTCCAGCGGCTCCCGCTCCTGCTCCTTCGCCTGCAGCCGCCATACCTTCCGTGTCGTCAGGAGCGCGACCCCCAGGTTTCATACCTTTAGGTTTACTGCCAGCAGGCATTCCTCCCATAGGCATACCACCCATTGGCATACCCATCGGCATACCGCCCATTGGCATACCCATTGGCATACCGCCCATTGGCATTGCCATCTCTGGCATCATCGGACTGGACATGGGCATCATCATACCGGCAGGCATCATACCTCCCATTGACTTCGGCATCATCGACATACCCATCATTTTACCTGAAAATAATTTAGAATTTAAATGAGCAACACTTTATTAGAATCTTCAAAGACATTATTTTATATTTCAAACGTGTGTTAAGTAGTGCGTTTTATTTAAAAACTGAACTATTTCTTGTCATTTTACTATATATATATTGAACTCAAATCATTTTACATTATGATAAATGAATTGTAGTTAATGTCATTAAACGAATTACGGTCTAAATCATTACATGTATTTATTCTAATGACATACTTATTTACGTGAACGGACGTTTTTTGCCTTTCCTAGATTTAACGAATATATGATTATAGATAATATCAACAAACCAGCACATGATGACATAGGAAGATACTATTAAAATATCGATTATGAAGTGAATTTATTCGGAACATTCCTTGAAAAGATGTTCTTCGTTTTCAGGGCAATGTTGAAAATTAAGTCCATTGTATAGTTGCAAAGATACAAGGTGTATGCCTTTTCAATATACTATGCATACTTAACTGTTATTCTACTTTTGTCGAAAGTGAACCTTTTTAAAGGAAGTCACTGCATAGAAACCAATTAACCAATCATGATTGAGTAGCCTCTTTTATTATGCGAAATTATGCATGCATCACTCTGCCAATGAAACACAGAACGAAACTGATCTTTATGTATGTGGTTACCCAATTAGATTAAAATCGGGCCATTTTAGGGCAGTTATTCTACGTAAAGTAATGAATTAACCAGAATTAAGTACTCGCATTAATGATGCGCAAATATGCACGCAGTAATTGGCTATTATACTTTGCCCGAGTCTTGCCATTTTGTACGTTTTAACCTTATTTAGTTGAAAGTTGTCCATTTGTGGGGCAGTTATTGAACGAAAATTAGTGCGTAACTAACGGAAAGTCAAATGTACGGACGACGACGGACTTAAATAAATATTTATCGTTTCCTCCGAAAGGTAGAATTTCATGAAGTTTGAAATAATACCTGATAATATTTTATATACCTTTCATCATTTTCTTCGCCATTTCTGATCCTCCTCCAGCAGCCACTAAAGCGATCACGTGGCATAGGACAATAAAAGACTTGATGTTGAAGCACATGTTAACCTTCATCTTCGTAATCGGAGTTGATGCTAAACTGGAATATAAAACAGAGTCATGTTAGCATTTATTTGAGCTACACTATAGATAAAGTCTCGAATGCAAAGGAACGAATTATCACAAACAAGGACACAATTTATCACAACGTCAACAAACAAGGATACTATAAACCACGGGTTCAGCAAAACCTGACAGCATATAGCATAACTTCAAAATACAAGAAAATTACATACCAAAACGTCAACACGCAAGAACATGACATACCACAACGTCAACACACAATAACATGACATACCACAACATCAACACACAAGAACATTACGTACCACAATGTCAACAAACAAGAATATTACATGAGAAAAGATGTATATATCTACAGAGCGAGTTAGATCACCACATAACTAATATGGTTCCTTATACCAATACATTACAAGCTTAATACCGATCAACGCCTTTCAAATAATTATTTAAGCACACACGATTTCTAGTTGCTGTGATCAAACCGATGTAAAACCGTAGGTTGAACCAGTCGTCCAAACATTCGTACCATAGCATTTTTTTATCTTCATGTGCAATATTGTTTTTATCAATGTGAGCTCGATCGTCCTAAATTAGACCATGGTCACCCTCGGTTGTTTTATACTGAAAGCGTCTTTCTTGGTCAAATGTGTCGTCTTTTTCAGCAATTTTGAGAGTTATTAGAAAATTTAAAAGGTGTCAAAATTAACTATGCTGCCTTTTTTGAAAATATATATTCATACCACTACACTTTTAATAATAAACCTACTGTATAAAGCAAGCTGGGTACTAATATTCCCCAGTTATGTCCTACATTAAGGATCGCAAAAAGGGCTAAAGCTATCATGTGGCGAAAATGACCTCATATGCTTTAGTTGACAATGTGTAACACTTTATTTCAATGATAAACGTGGTTATATTATTGATATTATTAACTACTGATAAATCTCCGATACCAATGTAGTTCCCTTCATTTTGACGTTTTTTAGCAAACTTTGTCAGGGTAATTTGAAATTGTGGACATCCATGTGAGAATGTTTAACACTATAATTTAGATAACAAACTTATTAGGAAGAGGCGTTTGCTGATGCTGAATAGTTTGAATGTTCACGTTGTCAGAAGGTCAAGAATTGACACATGTGTATTTAAGTAAGAGAAACATATTTCACGGACTCAATTGAATCTTCACGAATTCGTCGTTTGGAACACCACCATCCCAGTGTGTGCAGCGTCATTTTAGTTTAAGAGGCCTATGTTAGAAGTTTTGATGATTCCTTTAACATTATTTACAATTATCTCCATATGTTCGTATAAAATATTCTGTCATATATTTGCTAAAGAAGAAAAAAAAGATTTAAAAAATGTGTGTGTATTAAGAGGGATATATAGCGCAGGTGACATACTCTCGAACAAAATAAGTAACAGAGGCCGCTTCGGCCTTAAATAAACATTCGGCGAAATGATTCATGCAAATACTGATTGTATTGTTTTAAACACAAAACACGTAATTGAATATACTTTCGTTTCCTCTTCAGTGCTTATTAAGCAACGTGACCAGGATCACCCTTGCATTTATGTTAGACTGTTCTGTTGAAAATGTTTATCACGTGGTGTCCTTGTTTGTATTTCATCAACAAGCCGAAGTCACAGCTCATCCTGAGCTGATGTCTTAATGTTTTGTTGCTGCAGCCGGTGGTCCTTTTCACCCAGTTGTTTACCCTCAACTTGGGCGAAATGACTTAAGACACACACGGCTCATTTATTTAGAATGGTAGATAAAATAGTTCCCGAGTCAAACAGTAAAGTATATCCCTCTAACATTGGTAAGCCGTAAACGTTTTAACAATTTACTGGGCTCTTAGATCACGAAAATATTGAGGAACACGTTAACAAAAATCAACTTACCTTGACTGTTACTGGCTGGTGATAAATGGCTCTTGGCACCGATTACGGTCCTACGACTACCATTTATACTCTCCATTGGCAGGAACTTGCCGTCGTAGCGACACATGTCTTTTACCGGATCCCAGCCATGTGGGTTTTAGGGGTCATGATAGAATCACAAAGTTCCACCTCCAAACAGACGATGTACATCTTGTTCGAACCCAGGAATTGACAAGTCGTGATAATATTCTTGTCCAGGGGAATTTCCATAGACATTCAACCACGACATTGTCATTGCTGTAAGCGGACGGTGAAGTTAACATCATTGTAGAGGTATGATGGACATAACGCGGTATTAATCTGACATAGTTTACGCATCAATGCATTAATCTCAGTGTGAACTTATTTCATTTTCACTTCTGTCATAAATACATGTACAGCCTTATCATTCGTCATGTAGTTCTACCTGTCTGACACGTACGTAACACATATTTGATTACGTGTCTTGTGAAAGTACTGACTGAGTAAATGAAAAAATCAAACATTTAAAAATAATAATGCAGATAATTAAAATTTTATTAAATGATTGGTTGTATTATTTTTCTCTTTTATTTCTCCATATACAAAGGTAGAGATGTAAATAATATCATATAGATGGGAATAAGTCTAGGAATACATCAATAATGCAGGGGGAAAATGTACATAGCATTAACTAAAAATGAAATGCACACAGATAGAATTACAAAATGCATAATAAATCGACTAACAATTGTTATGTAAATTACACAAAACCAAGACATATATGAATATACATGATAATGGCATGCTATTGGTAGTTAGATGAATAGAAAAAAGTTATTCATATTTTTACAGTCCAGTAGGGAGCCCTATTTTTTCTAATGATGTGATTTGATTCTGAGTCACAGAAACGTTTGCTATCAGACATCTGCTGTTTTAAACGTAGTTTTAATCTATGTTACTTTAGAATATTCCATAGTGATATCAATCAAACGTATTGGTGACGTCTACCTTTAAAAACCCCGCATTTAGACATGTTCGGTGTTAACAACAAACCTCTACACACAAACATCGACAAAATCCGGAACTATGCAGCTTTTTTGTTGTGGTTTATTGAATATCAAATGGTATCGTCAATGTAAAATCTGTCATTTTGAAATCTGTATGATATAATTACCGTCACGTGCTAATGTTATCAGATAATATGCGTTACTGTTTGAAACAGTCTGACTTCCGAGCATACGCAGTTTAAAACGACATAATGTAGATTAAGGAACAAAGCCAAAATTGTTTTGGATAAGGTAATTTGTTTAAAGAAATGATACTTACAAGAATTAGCTTATGCAAAAGAGGTACATTTATATATATCTGAAACATAGAGAAAATTGCCCATGTTATAAAATTTCTATCTTCCACAATCTATAAATCTTCGTTCCGTCGTTTTAATACGACATCCTAACTATGCATAGAACATACATTGTATATGTGGTATGCGTACAAATAATCAATGGTTATATTTAGTAACAGATGGCCTAAGCATGACATACACAGATAAAGGTCCAAATTATAATCCCACTCTAAAAGGAATTTATAGCAAGATTATATAACATAATGTTTAGATATTATATATCTTATCTACCGTTTCTAAACATTTACTTTATGGTTATGTAATAAAAACATAATTATACATACATTTGCTATATATCATCGCAACTTATTTCGATGTATCTTCAATAATAGTATTTTAAGAAAGAAAATGTAAATCATATTGTGTATCGTCTATCCGATTTTTTGTGTTTAACTAAAAACTTTATTAATTTGATGGCTGAAATCAGGTAAATCCCTGCTGTAGAATTATATGTGCTGTTAGCGTACCATAGAAGGAAATGTCGGACATAATTATAACATAGTTTAGCTAAGTTATTAAGTTAAAATCAAAGTTAATAAAAATTAACCTAATACTTCTTACACAAGAAAAAATCGAAAATGATATTCGATTCGTATCACCGCAAAAGCAAACAAACAAAGAAACAATTAATCGGTATACATCATGATAATCATGATAAAACGTAAAACTACAAAACTAAAATGCAGAGAGAAAAATACAGGTGTTCCATAACGTTTTGTGCACCCTGCACCAAATCATTCATTTTACATGTGCAGTGTATACACATATTAAAATACTTTCTAAGAAGTATTCAAATGAACTGATCAAACCAGGTACTACTAATCTGTTTGTCACAATAATCAGATACCACTAATCTGATTGACAGAATACCTAGTTATCACTAATCTGATTGCACAATACCAAGTAACCATTAATCTGTTTGTCACAATACCAAGTAACCACTAATCTGATTGATACAACACCCAGTCAACACTAATTTGATTGACATAACACCCAGTCACCACTAATATGATTGACACAACACCCGGTCACCACTAATCTGTTTGTCACAATACTAAATAACCACTTATTTGATTGATACAACACCCAGTAACCACTCATCTGTTTGTCACAATACCAAGTAACCACTAATCTGATTGATACAACACCCAGTCAACACTAATTTGATTGACATAACACCCAGTCACCACTAATATGATTGACACAACACCCAGTCACCACATATATGATTGAATCTCTTTGACACACTATCCAGGTACCGTCACAATACCAGGTAACCAATAATCCGATTGACACAATACCCAGTCACCACTAATCCGATTGACTTAATACCCAGTCAACACTAATATGATTGACACAAACCCCAGTCACCACTAATCTCTTTGACACACTATCCAGGTACCACTTATCTGTTTGACACAACACCCAGTCAACACTAATATGATTGACACAACCCCCAGTCACCACTAATCCCTTTGACACAATACAAAGTAACCCAATATCGGATTGACACAATACTCAGTTAACACTAATCAGATTGACACACTATCCAGGTACCACTTATCTGTACATCACAATACCCAGGTACGACTTATCTGATTGGCACAATACCCGGTCAGCACTACTCTGTTTATCACAATACCAAGTGACCACTTATTTCATTGATACAACACCCAGTAACCACTCATCTGTTTGTCACAATACTAAGAAACCACTTATTTGATTGATACACTACCCAGTAACCACTCATCTGTTTGTCACAATACCGATTAACCACTAATGTGGTTGTCACATTGCCCAGTCACCACTAAGCTCTTTGACACAATACCATCACCACTAATTTGATTGACACAATACCACGGTACCACTAATCTGATTGACCCAACACCCTGTCAACACTAATTTGATTAAATCAAAACCAAGTCACCATTAATATATTCACCACTAATCGTTTGTCACAATACCAATTCACCACTAATCGGTTGTCACAATACCAAGTAACCACTTATTTCATTGATACAACACCCAGTAACCACTAATCTGTTTGCCACAATACCAAGTAACCACTATTCTGTTTGACACAATACCATGTAACCACTAATCGTTTGTCACAATACCCAAGCACCACTAATCTGTTTGCCACAATACCAAGTAACCACATATCGGATTGACACAATCCTCATTTAACACTAATCAGATTGACACAATACCATGTAACCACTAATATGTTTGTCACAATACTAAAAAACCACTTATTATGATTGACACAAACCCCAGTCACCACTAAGCTCTTTGACACAATACCATCACCACTAATCCGATTGACACAATACCAAGTAACCACATATCGGATTGACACAATACCCGGTCACCACTAGTTATCACTAATCTGATTGATACAACACCCAGTAACCACTAATATGTTTGTCACAATACCGATTAACCACTAATGTGATTGTCACATTACCCAGTCACCACTAATCTCTTTGACACACTATCCAGGTACCACTTATCTGTACATCACAATACCCAGGTACCACTTATCTGATTGACACAATATCAAGGTACCACTTATCTGAACATCACAATACCCAGGTACGACTTATCTGATTGGCACAATACCCGGTCACCACTAGTTATCACTAATCTGATTGACCCAACACCCTGTCAACACTAATTTGATTGACACAAACCCCAGTCCCCACTAATATGATTGGCACAATACCCGGTCAGCACTACTCTGTTTATCACAATACCAAGTGACCACTAATCTGATTGTAACAATACCCAATCACCACCAATATTCTGATTGACACAATATCCAGGTACCGCTTATCTGATTGACACAATATCAAGGTACCACTTATCTGTTTGACACAATACCCAGGTACCACTTATCTGATTGACACAATATCCAGGTACCACTTATCTGATTGACACAATACCATCACCACTAATGTGATTGACACAATACCCAGGAACCACTTATCTGTTTGTCACAATACCAATTAACCACTAATGTGGTTGTCACATTACCCAGTCACCACTAATTTGTTTGTCACAATACCAGGTAACCACTAATCCGATTGACACAATACCAAGGTACCACTAATCTGATTGACACAATACCCAGTCAACACTAATTTGATTGACACAAACCCCAGTCACCACTAATATAATTGACACAATACCCGGTCCCCACTAGTCTGTTTGTCACAATACTAAAAAACCACTTATTTGATTGATACAACACCCAGTAACCACTCATCTGTTTGTCTCAATACCAAGTAACTACTAATCTGTTTGACACAACACCCAGTCAACACTAATTTGATTGACAAAAAACCCAGTCACCACATATATGATTGACATTACCAAGCTACCACTAATCTGTTTGTCACAATACCAAGTAACCACTAATCTGATTGACACAACACCCTGTCAACACTAATTTGATTAAATCAAAACCCAGTCACCATTAATATGATTGACACAATACCCAGTCACCACTAATATGATTGACACAATACCCGGTCACCACTAATCTGTTTGTCACAATACTAAGAAACCACTTATTTGATTGATACAACACCCAGTAACCACTCATCTGTTTGTCACAATACCAAGTAACCACTAATCTGTTTGACACAACACCCAGTCAACACTAATTTGATTGACACAAAACCCAGTCACCACATATA